ATAGGCCCCTCACCCAGCTTCAAGCTCAGCCTGACATTTCCCGTGACATTTGCTGCAAAGAAATAGAGTCATAAACCCAAAGGTTACATTTGCACATTGCCTCCCACTGCCAGGAGAACCACGGTCCCACCACCCATCCAGGGCCGTGCCCGCAGAGCCTGTGTGGGATGGCCCACCCATCCCTGGGGCCCTTGCTGGGGGCCCAAAGGTCCACCTCCCAGGCCCTCTGAGGGACCTCAGCCGCTGTTACCCAAAATGTGTTCCTGGGCACACCTGGCCCTGAGGCGCATCACGGAGGAGTGCGTCAGGGAGGCCCTGCCACTTGCCCGCAAACCGGAGGTCGGGCTGCCTGCTGGCAAGGAGCTCCGTCAGCACCACTCCCCAGCTGGATCCACACGCCCGACCACAGAGCCCTCGTTCAGTCTCACAGACACTCCGTGGGGCTCCAACTCCACCGGGCGTGAGCAGGACGGCCAGCCAGAGACTCGGTGCTGACCAGCGCTGGGGCTGCCCACACTCCAGGCCCTGTACCAGGCTCTGCCTCACTGTCGGCCACGCCACACGCCAGGGGCCTGAGTGGCGCTCACCTCCTGCTAGGCCCCCTGGGCCGACTGGGGACCCTGGTCTCTGCCCTCTGGGAGGCCTGCCCACAGCCCCGTCCTTTCGCTTGGCTCCTGGGCCTGGCTGCCCTGTCCTGGGGGGGCTGCATCGCCCATCCTCCACCCTCTCCCAACAGGGCACGGAGGCCCGCCCCCGGGGACAGGACTGTCAGGATGTGGAGGGCGAGGGCAGAAGCTGTGAGAAGGGGCAGGAAGGAGGTGACCTGAAGCGCCGGCTGCACGAGTGGCTATTCCCAGAGCCGGTTCCACTCGGACCAGTGAGAAATTCGACCTCGGGGACCAGGGACAGAGAAGCTCTCAAGCTCAGCCCCAAAATGTTGGGAGGGGGCATGCGGCCACATCCCCAGGGGACCTGGCAGGGCCTCCACGGAGGACACGTGGGGGCATGTGCATCTCCCAGAGTCCAGCTACACAACTGCTGGGCAGTGTGAGAGGCCAAGGTGGGTTTGGATAAATAAACTATGGCTCACCCTCAGGAAGTGCTTCCACACTCACCAGTGAATCTATGATGCACAAGAATAGTTCGCGACGTGCAAAATGTTTAAAATACAGTGACAAAAGAAGAAACTGCAGCACAAAGCTCCCGGTGTGGCGGACCCAGCCGGGCCCACGCGCTCCAGTAACGATGCAGGGAGACGCAGAGGTGTGGATGGCGCACCCTTCTGGCTAGGCTTCCACGTGTGGTTCTGTGACCTCCTGTCATTTAAAGCATTTAGTCCTACTCACTCAGGAGGTCACAGTTCACATCCCTTTATTTGTCTGGCTGAGGACAGGGTCCGACAGGCTGGGAATAAGTGACTGACTGAGTGAATGAATGAGTGAGTGAATGAATGGGTCTCTTAGTGAACGGGTTGTCAGGAGCAAATGCAGGCTAGGATCGGGCTGCTGGAGGGAGTCGGAGTGGCCAGGCGACTGGGTAGGGGACACTGAGGGCTGCAGAGGCTGGGCCTTGATTGGGCATGTGGGGGGCCAGCCCTGGCACTGCGGCACGACTGCGGGGTGGGGTTGGGGGTGGCCAGGCCAGTTCCTATGGACCTTGAGGCCCAGGCTCAGTGGCCACAGAGGGTCAAAGGTCAGGGCCCACCAGGCTGGGGGCGGGAGGCATGAACTTCATTGACCGGGCACAGCTTAGAGCCAGGAGCCCTCGGGACCCCCACGACGACGTCTGGGGGTGGAGGGGTCACTCACACACTCACACATTCACTCACAGTCTCCCTCCTTCCCAGTCACTGACACACTTATTCCCTCACACACTCGTTCTCTCACTCAATTCGCTTCACTCATTCACTGAGGAACTCCTTGCTCACGCTCTGTTCTCCTGACCCTTCTGGATGCACAGGCTGAGACTCCGTTGAGATTTCCTGGCTGCAGGCCCGGGAGAGCAGGAAAGGCGGCCCTGGGGGGTGGGCTCCCTCTCCCGCACCGGCCGGCCCCTCCTGGTGCTGCACCGCCTGCCGCAGGCGTCCATGCCACAAGACCATGGACTCAGGCCCGGCAGGGGCTGCGCTGGCTATGGGTGAGCACAGGTCCCCTAACCTGCGGGCAGCAGAGGAAGGAGGTGGCCAGGGTCCCGACAACGTCCGGGAGGTTCAGCCACACATGCCCAGCCCCTCATGGTCTGTTACTTGAAACAAACCACAGCAAACAAACCTGGGCCCCGCCAAGGGCCTGGGGCAGTTCTCAGCCTGCCAGGACAGCAGGACTTTGCCCCTCGCCTTCCAGAGCCCCAGCTCACCCTGTGGTCAGGGTCTTCTAGAGACATCCACAGCAACTCCTCTTGCTTGTTCAGACCCATCTTCCTCAGCCCTGTCCCCTCCCTCTCATCCATGACCACAGGGAGAGGGCCAGTCCCGACAGAAGGACCCCTGGCAGGCCGTTAATCTTCACAGAGGGCGAGAGAGGCTCAGGGACTCTGCCGTCTCCCGGCTGGTGAGGGCAGAGCACAGAGGCCATCCCGCTTGGCCACCTCCCACCTCCTTCGGGCCCTCTCTCCCTCCCACCTCCGCCTGCCCGGCCCCTCACTCTAACCCGCCTTTGGCCTCCATGGGCCTTCATTTCCCCATGTGCAGATGGGCAGGAGGGAGGGGTCCGGCTAGCAGTGCCAGGGCTCCAGGAGGATCTGCCTGCATGGGAAGCGCTGACGGCTGGGGTGGGGTCTGGAGTATTTTGAAGGCAGAAGCACTTAGGTCAGACCTCACGAGACCCTCAGCCTTGAGGGAGGGAGGCCTGATTACTGGTCCGCGTCACAGGTGAGGAGACTGAGGCATAGAGAAGTGAGCTGTTGTTACACCCAAGGTCACACACAGACGGGCGGCTGAGCCAGGACGCAAATCCAGGCCGTTCTTGTCCTGCCATCCCACACCCTGCAGCCAGGGTCTGGGTGCTAACTACCGCCTGGGTCTGTCCCTTGCATGGGAGCTAGCTCTTCCTTACCTCAGCTGGAGCAGCAGTGGGAACAGCACCCACTTTACAGACGGAAAGACTGAGGCTTAGGAAAGGGGAGTGGCCAGCCCCACTGGCTGCCCTGTCATGGGGCCCACCTTCCAGCCCCCTCCCTGTCCCCACCTCACACATTCTATAAGGATGGCCCACTTGTCCCCATTCTATAGACAAGGAGACTAATGGCAGCTGGGGGAGCAGGCAGTGTGGCTGGCCTCTCTGAGCCCTGGCCTGGGTCAGGGGCCTCCCCACAGCGAGAGTGGGTCACCAATGCCCTTACCCCAGTGCCCCACACAGCACCCGAGGCAAGTGACACAGCATGGAACCCCTTACCAAGAAGGCTCCCACCATGGAGAACCCACAGCAGCGGGGGCAGGGCCCTCCTGGGGCAGCTGCAGAGTGCCCACACATCCCCACCGGGCCCAGTGGCAGCGGCTGCTGAGCACACGGGGGAGTCTGGACTGTTTGTCACGGTGTTGACCTCGAGGTTTGGAAAGGGCCTTCCCTGCCCAGAGGGACCCAGCCCCCACTGGCCACCGCTGCCCCAGCATGGGAAGTGAGGAGGAGCGGCCAGGAACCCTTTTGCCTCACACCCTGTACTGGACGCACTGAACTAGCCCCCAACACACACCCCCAGGGCCTCTGCTCCAGAGTCAGGCAGAACCCAAAGAGAACCCACCTGGGCACACCGGGGCACCCACACCTGGAAACAAAGAAACACATGCCAACGTGTCCATAGGCACACACGGTCACAGGAGCAGAGACTCACACGTGCGGATGCACACCACGTTACACACACACACATACACACAGGCCCAAGGGGCTGCACAGGGGAAACACCCAGCACATGAGGGCAGGTAGACAGAGGTGGGGCCAGGCTCCGGTAGCTGGTTTCTGGCCCCTCTCGCTGTGAGCGCCGGCGGCTCAGAGCCTCCCCCTCCTCACGTGTGCATGGAGGCACAGGCGGGGTCCCGCTGAGGGCCCCTGGCATGTGCCAAGCATGGAGACCACAGCAGGCATGCTATGTGCATGCATGTGTGGCCGTGGGCGTGCAAGTGGGGGCGAGGACACAGATGTGTACCCTCAGTGTGTGTGCGAGTGCACACTGGGACAACCTGGCATGCGTGTGCACATGCGGTGTGCAAGCATGCAGCCCTTGTAGACGTGCACGTGCAAGGAAACGTGTGTGCAGCCTGCGGCACCCTGGGTATCAGCAGAGCAGCCCAAGTGGCACCTGGGGACCACTCTCTAGGCAGGGCATGCCCAACTCTCCCACAGGAGGTCACCCCCCAGCCCCCACTGTCAGGACCTCGCAGCAGGTCGAGGGAGGGGTCCCACAAAGGCTGCCAGGGAGTGGGTATTCCGAGCCCCACTACCTCTGCCCCCTCGCGCCGCCCCGCAGGGGCCCTCAGGCTGCGGATGGTGGGTGCTTCGCTGCCTCCTCCTGGCCAGCCCCGACCCCCACGCCCTCTACTGTTGCCAACGCCCCCATTCATGCCGCTGCGGCTTGACCCCAGCGAAATGAGAGGTCCTGAGCCGAGTCCGCCGGGCAAGGTGGAGGCGGCCCGATACCCCGACACCTGCTCGGTACCCACGTTTCTGCAAGCCTGATCATTAACCCCTTCGCGGTCAGGGCGCTCCGAAGCCGGACCCCGCCCTTCCCACCGGCAGCCCTCACCCCAAAGCCGGACGAGCGTCGGGGGCTACCCCGACCCGCCGCCCCAGGCCCTGCCGCCGCCAACTTTCCCGGGAAGCGGCAACTTTTCCTGCTGCCGCGGGCTCCGCCCTCCCGGGGCCAGGGCGCCCGCGGCCCTAGCCAGCGGGGCACTGCGGTGGCCCTCACGGAACCCGGCGACCCTTGTGCCTGCTCGCCCCAGCCCCGGACGCGCCCTGCGGCTCGGGGACTGCCGCCCCTGCCCGCCCCCGCCGCCCGGCACTCACCTCCGGCGGACGCCCTCTTCATCTTAGGGGTCGGGTGGGGCGCGTCGGGGACCGAAAGTCGCGTCGGGGCCGGCGCCCGTCTCCCCGCGGCCGGGTCCGCATCCAGGCGTCGCCGCTCCGGCCCGGCCCGGCCCGGCCGCGGGACAGGGCTGGGCGCGCTCCGCGCTCCGCCGGGCGGCTGGGCAGCGGGGCCGCGGCGCGCGGGGCAGGGCGGCGGCGCGGACTGGAGGGGCGCTCGCGGCACGGGCCGGGGCGGATGAATGTTTTATGGGATCATGTGGTTTGACGCGCGAGGAATCCGCCCGGTCCCCCCGCCGGCCGGGCGGGGCGGGGCGGAGGCGGGGCGGGGCGGGGCCTCGCGGCGGGCGGGGCGCTCACCTGGGCGCGGGCCGGGCGGGGCGGGGCCGGGCGGGGCCGGGCGGGGCGGCGCGGGCCGGGGTCGCAGGCCGGGCCGCAGGAGCGCTCAGCCGGCCAGGGTCCCGGCGCGCGGCCCAGCCCAGACAAAGGCGGCGCATTTCTGAAGAGGCGGCGGCCCCTGCAGGCGGCCGCGAGGATGGCGGCCGGGCCGGAGAGGGCTGAGGGCGCGCGCCCCAGGGCGTGGCGGCCGGGCTGGCCCGGGGTGGGGGGTCACAGAGGCGGCCAGACACCGGTAGGGGCTTTGTCCAGAGGCCCGAGGATCGCGGGGGTGGGGGTGGGGGTGGGGATGGGCGTGGGGGCTGCTCCTCTGCCTGGCTCGCTCCTTTCCGGCCTCGGTAAATCCTGCCCAGCGACCTTTCGCTGAAGTAGGATGGCTCCATTTTTCAGTTAGAAAATTGAGAGCCAAGCTCAAGGGACTTATGAGGGCCCCCACCCGTCTTTGTGGCCCTTCTCCTCCCCCCCCCGGGGGAAGGGATGCAGACACAGTCCTGCCCCTACCCCTGCAGGGGTCCCCCACCTGTTCCCTCCTGTAGAATGGGGGCTGCAAGCCCGGGAGACTCCCTCCAGCCCTCCTCTTAGTACTCCCCACCCTCCACAGAGCCAGCCCAGGCTCTAGGGCCAGAGAACCCATGCAGCCCAGCACAGGCGTCCCACTTCTCTCTCCTGCTCAGGGATCTACCTTGCCTCACAGAGAAGCTCCTGGTGCATCCCAGGGTCTTCAGCCAGTGCCAGGCCAGTGTGCCTGCGGGCTGCCCTACACGTGGAGGCGTGCTGGGAGGTGATCAGCTGGGCCTGGGCCTCTTCAAGCCTGCCCTGCAGGTGAGAGGACCACCTGGATGGGGGACTGGCTGACAGAGTTGGTTCCTGTCTGCAGGATCCTGTGACCAGGGCAGGCCCTGGGTCCTGCCCTGTGGCTGGAGCATCCTGGCTGAGGGTGTGCTGGTCCCCCTGGAGCCCTAGGCGGTATTAGCCGGCGAATGAAGCCAAGAGACCTGTGACTGGGCAGGCCGGGGTGCTCTGCCTCCCCGCCAGACTGGGCCTCCCACCTGCTCACGTGCCCACAGGTCTGTGTAATGGGAGCAGGGCCGAGGCCTGCAAGTGGGCCGCCATGGGCTCGGGACAGGTTTCCTGTGCCTCTCCGGTGAGCAACTTGGCCAGCACCCTTGTCTCCAGAAGCCCAGTCTGTGGGATGACTTCTGGGTGTTGGCTGGGGTGGGTAGGCGTGGGCTGGCCCTGAGGGGGCTCGTGGCAGGCAGAAGGGGAGCTGAGCAGCGCTGGGTAGCGAGTTGGTCTGCCTCCAGCAGGATACAGCTCACTCCTTGGGCTGGAGATGTGGGGAGGGTTTGGTGTGGCACATTGGTCAGGGTGCGGGCAGGTGCAGGACAGCATGAGGGACAGTGCACTTCCCAGGAAGGCGGCTGTGGAGCCAGCACCATCCCGGGCCTGGAGGAAAAAGGAGGGAGGGCAGATGACAGTTGGTGAGGGGCCAGTGCGGAAGGCTTGACAGGGGCTGCAGCTTCTGGTCAAGGGGCACAGCCAGCCCTAGGGGTCTGCCCTGTGGGAGGAGTCAGAGACCCCATGGGAAGAGTGTGGCTGCACACCCTCCCTGTAATGCAGTCTACACCAATCAGTTCCTGGAAGGCCTGGCAGGAGTGCAGAGGTGACAAGCCGTTGGGGCTGCACAGATCTGAGACACACTGCCCTCGGGAGCAGGAGAGGGCCTGGACTGGAGACTGCAGACAGCTCGGCTCTCAGGGATGAACAGACTGTCACACCCTGCCTGGGCTGGGCTTCGGCCTGAATTACCCCCTCAGACCCGCCACACATGGGCCATGGCCTTCTGCCAGTTCACCCAGCCCACCTCTCCCGTCCAAGGAGGCCTGGTGCTGACATGGGGCTGCCTCACCCTTCAGTCCTGAGGACCAGCTTCCATGATCAGCATGGTGGGCATGAGAGGGCTCTCCTGGCTGTGTGCCTGGGCCCAGCCCCTGGCCTCTCTGCGCTCAGTGCAGCCTGTGGATGAGGCAGGCACTAATGCCTCCTGGGCTGGGTCAGCTGCTCACCGTCCCTCCGTCCACCTCTCCTGTCTCCTGAGAGGGCTGTGCAGGGCCCTAACCAGGCAGTGTGGTTTTCACTCAAACCACCAGGTCCGCTTGTGGAATCCAGCCTGGATGAGGGTGCCATTCCACTGCGTCCGGTCCTGGGCTGACAGGGTCATGGCTCGACTTCCTTAGAAGGCCACTTCTTCCATGGGCTCCTGGGGCTTCCATGCTGGAGAGTTGGGTCTGTGGTGGCTCTGCTCAGCAGTCTGGTGGGGCACCCATGCGTCCAGCCCCTCGACGCCCTCCCGGGGAGGGCTGGGGAAGCGAGGTACACAGTCTCTGCTGCACACGTTCTGGGCCACCCCAGGGCGGTACAAGGAGAGCTGGAAGGCAGCTCGAGGGCCATGCAGCAGAATCCGAGGGCTGCCCCAGTGTGGCCCTTCCCGGCACTCCAAACGGGCAGCTGGGGACGTGGTCCCAGTCCCGGGGGTGGGGGGCAGCCCACATCGGCTCTCACCGCAGAACGCACCTGCTTGCCCAAGGCCCGAGACGACTCTGTGCCAGCCCTGCTAAGTACTTTGTCCCGTCCTATCCTGTGGTATAGACACCACCACCACTACCCATTTTACAGACAGGAAGTCAGAGGTCATGGAGTTTAGATAGACCCACATCCTGGCAGCCACTCCCAGGACCACCTTTGCCCACAACACTGCTTCCTCCAGAAACCCCCCCACCACACCCCCACGGGGCTACAGAGGGTGTCTTGGCATTCTGTCATCAGCCCTGCACCCCTGAGGAGTCCCTCTGCCCACCTTTGGTGCATATTAAACCGTAATTAATCTCCTTCCTCATTTCTTATTCATCAAAGCTGCACACAGCAGCAACCAGGGTGAGCACAGGGAAGGGGCTGACAGACTAACCCCCAGCAGTGTCCCCAAGAATCCCACTGGCCCTGCCTGTCTCGAAATGCCTCCGACCTCCACACCGAACAGGGGTCCCCTCCCACAGGATGGTGTCCTGTCTTCTGCCATGCTGGGTGTGCCCCCGCCAGACCATGTGCATCTCCTACCTCGGGAGGCTGCCGGGGACTGTCAGGGAGGCATGTGCATGGGGCATGTGCATTGCATGGCAGTGGCCCTCCCTGCCACACCCCACCCCCCAGGTCTCTAGGAGAAGAGCCTGAGCCTAGAGAGGGGAGACTGGCTGAGTGAACGTGTGGTGCTGGCACCTGGCCCCCAGGCTGGGTCTGCCCCTTCTGCTTCCAGAGGGAGAGGGGAATCCCAAGGGCTCCCTAGTGGTCACTCGGGGGTGGGCTCAGGGTCCTCTCCCAGCGAGTGCAGCCAGGTTGGTGGCCTCTGTCTGGACCCAGCCTGAGCCAGGGCTAGGGGTAAGTAGGATGCTTCTAGTCTTTGAGGGCCAGAGTCTGGTGCAGGGGCAGAGCTCCAGGAGGCAGGGTCCCCAGGCTGTGCCTGAGGTGTCAGTGCCTGATCCATGCCCCTCCCTGACCCCTACAGCAAAGGTGGAGTCTTCTGGAGCGACCTACCCAGCTAAACTGGGAGCTGCTTTTCACACCAGGAACCCAGCAAGTGCTCAAAACTGGGTTAGAGGGTCGCTTGGGGAGGGGACCCAAGAGTACTCAGTGGAGTGGGGAAGGCAGGCCTGGGCATGGCCATGGCTGCCAGCTGGAGTGGATAGGAGTGGAGGGTAGGGCAGGCATTGTGGCCCCATTCTGGGGCCACAATGCGGGGCTCTTGCTGGGCCAACTCAGTACCCAGTCTTGCTCCTCCTAGGGCTCCCCAGGCCCCTGAGCCCTTGAGCACCCTCTCTGGGCTGCCATGATCCAAAGGACATGCAGATCTGCTCCATATCTCAGATGGAGAGGCTGAGGGCAGAGAAAGACCAGCCCAATCTGGTGCTCAGAGCTCCCACCCAAAGGGCACCATGGAGGGCTCCCTTGCTTTCCCCCCTCAATGCTTTCATCTGCTCTCTTGCTCAGTCATTTAGTCGTTCAACAAATACTCTGGGAGGCCAATTCCAGATACCCTCATACCTCTGCTGGACTCCCACTCCTCTCACCCTCACAGGGTACAGGTGGGGAAACTGATCCCCAGGGAGGACAGCCTGGTCCTGGGTCACTCAGCTAATGAGCCTAAAACAAAGGGTGTGTCCATGCCATGTGGTCACCCAGAATCCCACAGGGACTGATACACCAATGAGGCAGGCAATTGAGACAGAGCCTGCCTGGCACTCACCTGGCGCCCCACATTCTGCTGGAGTGACTCAGCCCAAGCTTTCAGGGCTTTGCCCCCCGCCCCCCCTGCACCCCAGCAACTGGCTCTGCATCCCAGGAGTCGAGGGACAGAGAGCCGTGCAGGGTCGGGCAGGCAGAGCCTTCACCCCATGCCCGACCTTATCCTGGACTGAGCCTCACCCTGACCCCTGCTCAGGTGAGACAGAGGTCTCTGTGCCAGGTCCCGGAGACGGGGCCCTGGGCTAGGACTCACTGGGTGCAGGGCCTGAGTCTTCTCGTTTGCTCACTGCGCCCTGTTGCTGGCCTCTCGCCTGAGGGTTGAAGGCATGTCTGAGGCACCTGAGTGGGGGACTCTGAGGCAGCTGCAGCAGCAGGCTGGCCTCTGAGACGTGTATTTTTAGCCAGGATTCCTGCTGACAGTTCAAGCTTGTCCAGGTTTGCTGCCAGCCACAGAGGCGCTTCTCCCAGCTTGCCTCAGGACAGCCGGGGTCTGCCATCCTGGCCCAGGCCCTGCTCAGCAGTCCATCTGGCCACAGCCCTTCCCGGCCAGGA